TAATCTTTTTTTTAATGATTGTGAAATATTCTAGTTTATATGCATACTGTAACTTATGCATTCTTTCACTTATTATGGGTATCCAGGTTATTATTTTTTTTTTTTTAGAGACAGAGTCTTACTCTTTCACCCTCAGTAGAGTACTGTGATGTCATAGCTCACAGCAACCTCTGGCTCTTGGCGTAGGCAATTCTCTTGCCTCAGCCTCCCAAGTAGCTGGGACTACAGGCACCCACCACAATGCCCAGCTATTTTTTTGTTGCAGTTTGGCCAGGGCTGGGTTTGAACCCACCACCCTTGGTATATGGGGCCAGTGCCCTACTCAGTGAGCCACAGGTGCTTCCCTATCCAGGTTATTTTTAGTTACTATCAAAAATCAGTTGGACATGGTGGCTCATGCCTATAATCCTAGAACTCAAAGAGGCTGAGGCAGGAGGGTTGCTTGAGCTCAGGAGTTTGAGACCAGCCTGAGTAAGAGTGAGAACCCATCTCACTTAAAAGTAGACTACGTGCATAGCCACTGTGCCCAACTAATAAGGAGGCTGAGACAGGAGGATCGCTTGAGCGGAGGAGTTTGGGGATGCTGTGAGCTATGATGATACCATTGCACTCTAGCCTGGGTGACACAGTGGGACCCTGTTTCAAAAAACAAAGCAACAAATTATTATTAAAAGTAAACCTTTAGTGAACACCTTTGCACTGTACACGTATCTTGAACTATTTACATTATTGGAGAAAGATACTTTTAAAAAAATTTCAGGTTTGTGAGGGTACAAACAACCAGATCACAATACTTGAATATGTTAGATAGAGTCCATCTTGCAGTTGTGTCCTGTACCCGGAAGGTATGCCATCTACCCTACATTGTGCCCATTAAGTGAGAGCACACCAGTATCCCCCTGCTTTTCCCTTCCTCATTTTCCCTGCCCCCAACTTGAATTGGGTTTTACTCCTATGTGGGTGTTTATAGGATTGTCACTTTTCTTCATATTAGTATTGAATATATTGGATACTTGCTTTTCCATTCTTGTGAAACTTTACTAAGAAAAATGTGCATCAACTCCATCCAGGTAAACACAAAAGATGGAAATTCTACATCTTTTTTATGACTGACTAGTACTCCATGGTTACATATACCACAGTTTGTTAATCATTTCTGAATTGATAGGCATTTAGGTCATTTCCACATCTTGGCGATTATAAATTGAGCTGTAGTAAACAATCTAGTGCAAATGTCTTTATGATAAAATGATTTTTTTTTCCTTCTGGGTAGATGCCTCATGGATTATAGGGTCAAATGGGAGGTCTAATTTAAGTTCTTTGAGGATTCTCCATTCTCTTCTTTCTAAAGAGGCTGTATTAGTTTGCAGTCTCACCAACAGTGTAAAAGTGATCCCCTCTTTCCACATCTGTGCCAGCACCTGTAACTTTGGGACTTTGTGTGGGCTATTTTCAGTGGGATTAGGTGATATCTCAGAGAAAGATACTATTATCTTTTGGGAAAACAATAATAACAGTAACTCTCCAAATCAGAATAAGAATAAAGATGTTATAAAGCAAAGACTACATGTGGGGCACACAGAAAAAATACAGAAGTAACTTAAAATCACACGTGATTCTGCATGCTATTCTTCTCAGCGGGCATATGCCTTGGGGTTTGGGTAGGACATTCCCTCAGTTGATATCATCTCCTACCGGTCTCTTATTTATGATGGGCTGAATGCCAAACTGGTTATGAATAATTGTTTTGCATACAATGTGGCCCCTGGAGCCAGGCCAGCCATTTTAATCTGATGCCCTAATTAAAAAAGAACTGGCTTTTCTCTAACACGCAAGGAAAAAATACCTGCTGTGTTGAACTATCAAGAGATGACATCTATGTCTTCAAAGTGGCACATATTTAAGAGATTTGGTGGATCATTTTGATTCCAGGCAGTTTCTACCTAGAGCACCAACCTGAGCTCTCAGCAGCAATGCAAGATGTGACTTCATGGAATTTCTGGATTAGTGACATAGCCAATAAAAAGGAGGGACAGTCCTGTTGGCTCACTGAGTTCTGAGGGACCAAGAGATGGATAATAGGTGAGCCTTGACTAATGACTATTTTTATTTTCCTTTTTCACCAGTCTGAACCACTCAAAACAGAAGACATAAAGAGCAAGTTTACTGCCGGCTCAGGCCACACAGCCATCCTTTGATGCTCATTTGGTTTCTTCCACTCCAGAGTCCCTGGGAACTGCCGAGTTGGTTTGAAACAGAAGTAGTTGGTAGTTTGCAACTGTGCTGTTATCCATTTGTTCATAAAGGTTAACCTTTAGCATTAAAATTGGTCAGATAGTAGAAAGCTCAGGACTTTCAGCAACTTGGAATGGTGGGGTTTTTTGTTTTGTTTTGTTTTTGGTGATCTTCAAAGTAAAATTGATTTGAGAAATTACTTCAAGTTTTGTGAAAACAAAAACTGTAGCATCATCTATATAAATACAATTTAGCATATCTCCTGGGAGGAGAAACTTTGAAAATGATCAGTGATGGATGTTTCAATCAGCAGACTTTGAATGAAGCAGACGACCCTCCACAATGTGGGGGCAGGGCTCGTCCAATCAGTTGAAGGTCTTTTTTTTTTTTTTTTTTTTTTTTTGAGACAGAGTCTCACTATGTTGCCCTCAGTGAGTATCGAGGTGTTATAGCTCACTGCAACCTCAAATTCTCTTGCCTCAGCCTTCCAAGTAGCTGGAACTACAGGCACTCGCCACAATGCCCAGCTATTTTTTTGTTGCCGTTGCCATTGTTGTTTAGCAGCCCTGGGCTGGTTTTGAACCCACCAATCTTGATGTATGTGGCTGGTGCCGTCACCACTGTGCTATAGGCACCAAGCCAGTTGAAGGTCTTAAGAGTGAAGACTGAGGTTAACTCAGGAAGCGGCAACTCTGCCTCTAGATGGCATCACGGAAACCCTCCCTGAGTCACCCACCCTGCAGATTTCAGTCTCAAGTCTGCAACTTCAACTTGTACCTGAGTTTCCAGATGCTAAAAATATATCTCCCCACTGCTCCCATTATCTTACCTTTTGTTGGTTCTCTCTGGAGAACTCTGATACAAGGTGTCCCTAAGCTAATGTAGCTGAGAGCTCTCTAAGGAATCTTGGAATATTCAGTTCTCCATGTAAGTGAGGTGAGATTGTGAGTCCTGCCATGTTAAAATAAATAGCACATTCTTACCGATTCGTGATGATGACATGCTTTCTTGGTAAGGGGGTCCCTGAAAGGAGAGACCTTGTCTGGTTTCTTGATTACTTTACTCTAGATCCTAGGAATCTTGCCTAGGGCAAGAGGGTGAGATGGTCTCAAACTCCCACCAAAGTCCGTAAGTCTGCCTTTAAAAGAACAAAGGCTAGGTCTACGCAGTGTACTGAATTAGGTAGGGAGAGTGCTTCAATCTTGCAGAGAAATCTGTAACATCTATAACTGTTGCTTGGTCCACAGCAGACAAGACTGTATTCATTTGCCTCTAAGTATATGATATTAGCCCAGGCAAAACTGCATAGAATTTTTCTGTTTAGTGCTCAAGAATCACAAATTCAAATGCCTTCAGAAGCCAGTAACATGAATAAGAGGCTGAAGGAAAGGGGTAAGTGACGGTAACCGGCAAATACAAGTGCAGAAGCCCATCTCAAGGCATGTGGGTAGTTACAGACTGCAGAGCGCCAAAAATCAGGGGATATCAGAGGGCTTTGCTCATGTAGCCAGACATCATGTGGCCACACTTTCACAATGGCTCCCATTGGGTTGCTCATTAAATCTGACTGCATTTCCCGATTGCTCAATGAGGGTATGAATTACAGATTTACTTGCCCTGTTAGTATTATTCCACTGGTCCCTCAGCACAATTTAAGATGGAAAAATGACCTGCAAATCAATAGCTTTTACTTTTTCTTCCCCCCTCATGACTAAGAGTCATGTTTTACTGAAGGTCAAGGAATATTTAGGTGACTATAGATAGTCTTGTAAGAGGGATTGTTTTCTTGTATGCCCTGGAGAGGACCTCTTCTTTAAAAATGTGAATTTGATTTGGAAGAAAGCCTGCTGTAACAAAAACACACGCTGAGTTTTTCTTTATACAAAAAATTTGACTTACTGAGGTGAAGGTTTATCATGTGTAAGCAGCCCTCTCATTTGCAACGGCAGTTATCAGACACAGTTATCAGGCCTTACCGTGGAGACATACAATTTAAACACTAAGTTTTAATGAGTTGTTCCACTGGCTGTTTAAAATCATGAAGGGCAACAGGAAAGGAGGCATTTAAAACATTTGCCTCCCACCCCAAACTCTGGCCTCAATTCAGATAGTTAAGATGAAGTCCCCTCCCATTCCTCCTCCTCCTGCCCTTCCTTAAAATCTGTCTTGCCCGACACATCACCATCCAGAAGTGTGAGACTTTGACCTTTGAATCAGACTTTGAGCATGTCCTCTAGTTTTCTTTTGGACCTGTGTCTTATCCTTAACATCCCGTTTAAAATGCTCCTCCTTACGTTGACAAGATGCCAGTCTGGGCTCCTGCTCCCGCCCCTCCTTTGACTTCTGGGCTCCCACATGGTCCAGTCTCAGGGCACATGCATGCCCTGTTCCTGAGTTGAGCTGACCGCCTTTCTGTCTAGGGTGAAGGGACAGTCTTGAGCCTCAGGTCATTGCACCATGCCGTTTCTGCCTCATCTTCTATCTAGCGCTCCTCTCCAGAATACTCTATATAGCAACCTGTTATAACCTTTGTTTTCTGCTTATCTAGTTGGTCTTTGTTTTGACCACTTTCTGAAACAGTTGGTACATGAATACTATGTAAAGGGACTGTTACATTAAAATCCACTGCTTGGTGAAATGAATTAAACATCTTAAATTCATTGCTAAAATATTGTTTTATTGCCAAAAGGATCCCTGAGTGATAGGTCATTCTGCATATCACGCAGGCACACATTTTAGAACCAAATAAGAAAACTGCAACATGCTTCAGTGTAAAAATCAATTTATTATACAACAATCATACAGAATGCTTATTATCTAAAAAGAAAAATGGCTTCTCCAGACTCCCTGTCCACCCCAGTCATGATAGCATGTCCTTAAGATACAAGTACTTTCAAAGGAAAACAAAGTGATGCCCTTATTTTCCAAAAAGGAAGCCCCCAGAAATACTGATAATGATATGGAAACACTGGAAAGAAAATGGACTCTTACGTATAAAATGTTGTTTTGCCCATCACAGTAAATACCATTTTGCTTTAAAATAAAAAAATACTTCTCTAATAGAGGGGGAGAGGACTTTAACCCCTAATATGTCCACATTCATGGTATATAATTTTAATAGGCTGAAGATTTCTATATTTCATTCTATTTTGTTTAAAAATTGGGGAATTCAACAGATATGCTTTATAGTATTTAAATATTTTCATTCCCATAAATAAGAGGGAATTTGAGAGAAAACATTTTCTACTGTTTAACAGATTATAGAAATATTACAATTTTGTATAGTTCCATTCTAGAAAATCACATTAAAAGTAAACATTTTGGTTTTTTAAAGTTACAACACTTAATGACAGGTTAAAATATGGACCTGATTCAATTTCTGTGGCTAAGATTTCATAGCTCTGTTTTTTTTTTTTTATCTGCCCTTGAATGGTTTAAGGCTTTTAAGTGTTTCATTAAGCCTCGTTAGAATTAAAGACCAAACTGGAAATAAGTATCCCAAAGGAAAACTCTAAAATTCTGGCATTAGCTTGAAAGTGTAAACTATTCATTCCCACCCCTCACCCCCCGCCCCCGGAGAGGTTTAATACAGCCACTTGACTTTGGTCTGTGGATGGTCTGAAGGAATGGTCCCTCCTTGCTATACAGATGTGATGTCCATGAAAACATCCAAAATGGCAGGTTTGATGTACAGTGAGACTTCAGGGCTTCACCAGCAATTAAGAAAAAGCTGAATACAATGGCTAGTGACGGCTGTCTTCAAGTCTCGTTTTTACCTGGAGTGCATTTTGCTAACAGATTTTTAGCCCATGTTTAAGACTTAATGCTGAACTAGTGTCCAGTTTCTCCAAAGGACTTTTTCCTTATCCCGTATGTGTTTTTTTCATAGCAGAGCAGTAACAGTCAAATGAATTGCCAAGAGAGAACAAGACATTGAATAGTTATAAGGTGATGCGAGATGGAAGCAGTGAGTAAGCACCCTAGAGCAAGTTAGTTTTAGAAAATGATTCACAAGAATGAATGAAAGTGTTAAGTGGGCATTGGACAGGACGATGTCTGCCCACTGAAATGGACTGACTGGTACCTAGAGAATGATACCGCGTACAGGGCATCACCCTGACAACCATACCAAGCCTAAGCCACCTTCCAAAAAATACGCCAGACTCCTAAGGAAAGGTAGTTCACATGAAATAAAAAATAATATACTGGCCTAACCTTTAACAGGGAAAATAATTTTAAAACTAGAGCTTGGGAAAAAAAGGCACGCTCGACAGTAATGAGTTGGGACAATGGTGAAAATGCCTTCCTGGTGCTTATACATTTCTTGTCAGAGACAGGAACTAAAAACTCATTTTAAAAAGTAAGGGAAGAAGATAAAGTATCAAAGTTGGCAAGTCTTGTTTTATAGGGTATAAATTAATCTTCATCAAATCTTCAGAAAATGTTTTGTTCCCATTCTTGGTACAGTTTAATAGTAAACAACAGCCTAGTACTTAGGGAGAAAGGAAATACTCATTGATGCTTTGGTGCTTGATTCTCAGTAGACATCACATATCTGAGCAGGGAAAGGATGTGCTGCGTTTGCCAAACTGGTATTTTTCATTGTGGTTCATTACTAGCCCACAGCTGAGTGTTGGACTCTCTCTAAAGTATTTCATCTTTTTCTTTCTAATTTCAAAAACTTAACCTAAAAGGAGTGATAGCAGGCATTAGCACAAGTAGAGTCCCCTAAAATAGTTGTCTAATGTCTATTATGTCCCCTTGCTCTGTTAATGCTGATTTATAAACATTCCAGTGGCATATATGTGAAAAGAAGAGGTCAGATGGGACTCCAGCCCTTATTCAGAAAGGAATAGGGAAGCCAGATTTAGAGACTGCTTTAGTACCCAGCAGGGTGTCTTTGTTAACCGAGGCTAAGGAACATGGGAGGCAGACATGAATATATGAATTAAGACACTGAGGAACAATTGCCAACTCCAACCCTCAACTCTGAAAATCTGGCAGGTGAATTTTCTTCTTGGAATAATATTCAAAACTCTATCGCTAAGTTCAGAATCAGGAGTAGTTGTAGGAATTTGTCAGACTCTGGCTTAGATTTTTTTCTTTTTTAATCTATCTTTTACGTGTGATTCTATTTTAATATTTTCTGGAGTGGATTCCTAAAGGAACAAGTGGACTGATTATGTAATTATTGCTTAATACAAATGAAAACATACCCTGTATAAGAATATAATTAACATTTTGTTTTAAACGCTTTAATATGAACAAAACCTCTAACTTTCATATTTGAAGACTTCAGTGAAAAACAATCCTCTGTGTTTCCTGGCTTTGTGTGTGTATAAGGCGTTATCAGACAGTTTCTGGTGAGGGTTTACGTCTGTGGGGAGGGAGGGCGAAGTTGCACCAGTTCTGAGGTCTTCGGAGATCAGCATCACCTCAACGCTGACCAAAGCATTCAGTTAACAGATTAACCTAATAGCAATATATTAATATATTCCAGGTACAAATGATTTATAAACTCAAAAGAAATTAGTTTATGCTGAAACATATATAACTTTCAATTCAGACTTTGCTTTAAAACAAGCGAATCTGTTAGGCTAGTAGATATGCTTTAAGTTACTCTATTTTATTGTGCTTTCCTGTCTGTCACCCCATTAGCTGCGGTGAAGTAGGCTTTAGAAAAACCGTTCTTAACTTCTTTCCCAGCAGGTGGCTCTTGCGTATCTTTCTTCCTGGGCTTTTTTCGGTATGTCTGTTGAATGTATAGGTTTTGAAAATAAAGGGGGAAAAAAAAAGATTCTTTAATAACACCTTGTCTCTAACACTGCATATGTAACAGTTAAAACAGTATGTGATTTTAGGGGGCACTGGACTTCGTAAGAATTCATGTTTGTAATATGACCGTTTTAAATTAAGCCTTTAGTTAAAAATAAAAGTAGAGTGAAAACCAAGACAAATGCAGGATTTTCAGTGAATGTTAGGATTTGTGTATTCTAGGATTAACATTCAGATTATTCTGCATGAGTTGCTTACTTGGAAAGGAGGTGACTTTAAGGACAAATACAATCCAAGTGAAAAAGTGCTGTTATATTAAAAGGACCGATACCTAAGATTCTGACTTGATTTGGGTTTTGGTATTTTAACAAAATACCTGCTCTCTCATCTCGTTTTCTTTCTTTTTTTTTGGTTTGTTAATTTTTTTAAAAAGCAATAGTATTAACAAGGGTCGAGACTGCACTCAACTCCAGAACTAAAATTCAATGGTTTAAAGCTTTGAAAACTATTGTCTACCCTTGCTGCTGGGCCCCCTGCTTCTTTCTGGTTTCTCACACTAAGCACCAAAAAGAGTCCCTCTGGTTGTGGTGTGTGTGCACATGCACACGTGGCTTGGTTTGGTCCCAGGATTGGTTATTCCTTAAAAATTCTCAAAGGAAACTTTTATCTCTTATAATAGACAAAGGCTACTCAGTCCAATTTCAGAAACACAAGTTCTAAAAAGCTGCCCAAGGTTCAGTTCCCACAATTTCACACTGTATAAAACTACTATGAGGTAACTTTTTAGCAAATGCAAACTAAAAAAAATAAGAAAGTACTTCTTGTTTGTCTGAAGAATACAGTCGAATGCAACTTCACAAGTATTATTTTGAATAGAAATGGTTTTCCATTTCCTCAGCCCACAAAGGAAAACAATTTAAAATCTACAACCACCTGAGGCTTGTGCTCTAATAGCTTTCACTGGCTCTTATATAACAGCACTGCTTTGAAACTGCATTTTGAAACTGAATTGTTAATTAAAAAGAAAATGGCATTTGATAAAAAGTCATTGTGACCTTTCCACAATGGTTTGCCTTAAAGCATTTTTCTTCCCAAATAAACAGTGGGTTTATAGCATCAGGGTAACTGATGTGGGAACAATAACTTTTTAATATTAAATTCAGTAAGGTCATATTTTTATCATTTATGTACATTTCCTGGATCTGTCATACATGTTTAACTTTCAGATGTGAGACTTTGGTAGCATGGTACACATGTATGATGCAAAGTGAAAATTGTATATATATTTCAATGATATTTTTTTCTTTTTTAAATGGTATTTTTGATAAAACTTCATATGCATGCATTAAAAAATGTTTGAAAGAACGCCTACCAGACTATTAACTATGGTTATCCTTCAAGGAGGAGGATGTGGGGAGAGGAGGTAGAAATGCAAGTTTCACTTTTTGCTTTGTATACCTGTGTTGTTTGAATGCATCAACCAGCATGTGCTACTATAATATTTAGTCAGTAAAATTAAACAAAATATAATTGTGCACTTTTGCATTGTAACATTGACTATGTACATTCCACGTACCTGAACATAAAAGTTTAAGAACAGGATGACTAATGTCATCATGTAAGAAGACTGGAAGATGAGACAACCGAAGGGGAAGCCACAGGGTTTCACCACCGCGCTCATGGTGTGGGTGATAGTGAGCACGAACTGCACCTGCAGAGAGCAGAGAAGGCAGCGGGGTGAACAAATAGGCTGAGCCACACGGACACCACAGGGAAGCCTTGTTTGTATGGAACTAGAGGTCATCACGTTAAGTGACGTAAGCCAGGCGCAAAAAGACAAATCTCCCATGTTCTTACTCACATATGGGAACTAAAATAATTGATCTCATGGATATAGAACACAGAGTGATAGACACCAGAGGCTGGGAAGGGTGTGTGGGCTGGGGTAGGGGTTGGTTAATGGAAACCAACTTACTACTATTAGACAGAATAAATTCTAATGCTTGCTAGCAGAGTAGGGTGAGTATAGCTAACAATAATGTACTGTGTATTTCAAAATAGCTAGAAGAGGACTGAAATGTTTCTTACACGCAGAGATGTTAAGTACTCAAGGAGATGGATATCCTAAGTAATGTGACTTGATCATTACACAGTCTGTGGATAGAACAAAATACCTTGTGTACCCCATAAATATGTACAAATATTATGTGTTAATAAATCAACTACTGTGGCTCTTGGAATTTTGCAGGAATAAACAGGCCACTACCCTACCTGAAGTTTTATTTAAAATTATGTTAGTAAATGTGTTAAACTGCTCATTATTTTTCTCATGGAAAAGTAGCAGTTAAGGCTGGGGGTGGTGGCTCACTCCTGTAATCCTAGCATTTTGGGAGGTCAAGGTGGGTGGATTGCCTGAGTTGGGAGTTCTAGACCAGCTTGAGTGAGTGTGAGACCTTGTGTCTACTAAAAATAGAAAAAAACTAGCTGGGTGTTGTGGTGGGTACCTGTTCCAGCTACTTGAGAAGCTGAGGCAAGAGGACTGCCTGAGCCCAAGAGTTTGAGGTGAGTTATGATGCCACAGCACTCTACCCAGGGTGGCAGAGTGAGACTCTTGTCCCCCTCACCCCCAAAAAGCAGTTAAAATTATTTAGACAAAAAAGATTTAACTTATACATTAATTTTAAAAGCAAGGAACTTGCTATACATTCCAAAGCAAGGAAATTCCATGATAAGCTATTAATAATTACATACGCAAAAGAGCATTTTAACACAGTTTAATTCTTTAAAGGCCATCTTTAGAGAAAAATATGCAGTCTCATTATATACAGAAAAACCTCTGATTTCTAAGAAGACTGAGATTTCTATTTCTCCATTCATGAGCCACATGGAAAGAGCTGGAAAAAGGTATCACATACCAGTTGAGCCTGTGTGAGGTATTTCTTCCACCAAAGATACTTGTGCATGGATGGAAACACAGAAAGTCCATAGTAGGAATACATTAGAATGTGAATAAAACTGTTCAGGGTTGGTCCAAAGAAACCTGTAAAAGTACAGTATTAAAATTACTACTTCTAGAAGCAGAATTGTTCACCCTTTATAAAGCAAGATTCTTCCTTTGCATTGTAATTGAAATTGAATTAAACACAAAATTCACCATGATAAATTCTCTGATGATCAGGCCATTTCTAGCCTAGACAGAAGGACTAACCTGGGATAGTTTTTCTGTCAGAGTGTTAACCAAACAGGTAGTTCCTTACCTATGTAAGTTTTACTGTCTCTCTTAACTATAATTTCTATCGGCTAGAAGAAAAATATTAAAGCTAGAGGCAGAATTCCTGTGAAATAATTGTTTTTGCTTTAGTTAAACCTTTGATGAGACATTGTGATTGCAGAAAGAGCCTTTTGAATATGCCTGAACAGAGTGATAGAGAAACAACGCCAATATATTACTCTTCATAATTAAATAAGTAAATTCTACCTGAAAGAGACTCAGGGACCAGGAGGTCCTGGATAAAGTGAAAATATGGGAGTGAGAGGAGGCTGAGGCAGGGAGAAACCTGCCGGTAAAGCCTTCCAGTGACTGGGCTGTCTCACGGCTTTTAGGACCAGGCCTATCTCAAGTTCAATCTCCTGACGCTCACCTCTTGGTGTCTTCCCTATACCTGCTGCCAGTGTGGGTGAATGGTCTTTCAGAAAAGGCTATGTTCTACACTGGGTCAACTAAGGGCTGAAAGGATTTAGCTGCAATGGGTGAGATGCCATAGATGAATTATTTGCTGGAAATAACGAACTCATTGTTGGGAGGATTAAACCAATTGATACGTGAAAGTGTCCAGAAAAGGGCTGAGCACACAGGGAAGGCCACATGAGTGTCAGCTTGGGATCCAGATGGCTGCTCTGTGGACTATCAACCCTACAGGGGTGAGACTGTGGCACTTGAGGGCTTTTTATTAGCTACATCCCCTGGATATATTGCTTTGACCTGCAAAGTTTCACTTTCCCATGTGGAAACTATGTACAATGATTACTACCTTTTACTGTTGTGATGAGATTAATGGGGATAATATGGTATATGAACATGGCGGTTAATCAATTTAAATTCTCTAGCCTGGTTTTCTAAAATAGCAATCTAGAAAGAGAAATGTGCAAATAAATCAGAAAGAAATAAAAGGTACAACACTGTGCATATTGTAAGTGCTCAACGTATATTGGCTGGAATAAGCTGCTATGTACTTCAATTTATATAAACACACACAATAGTTTCAGACTACCAAGCAGCACAGGATTTGGTCTTCTTTACACACTTGAGTTTTCATTTCCATCGATTAATAAGGAACCATGAACAGCCACTGCTTATAACTTTTATAATCTTGAGAAGAAACTGTCACATATAATATTTTATTCACTGGACTATGTCCTTACACAGTGATGATTTAAGTGAATTTTAGATGCTTAATTATTTATAATGAAACTTGCCAATCATAAAAAGCACTTAACCTTGGTAATTCTCCTTTGATATTGACTACAGTCTTCTATCCTTAAAAACAAAACTTAAGATGCCAGATTCCATCCATCTGGGAAAAGGGAAGAGATTTCTACCTGCCCACTGCACCCCGCAATTTCCTTCTTCACACTCCAACTTCTGTTTGCATCTTTACAGTCAGATGTAATCCAAATATCTTGGGTATTTTTCTTAATAGCTCTAAAAGATCCTCAGTCTTAGGAAAAAATCATTTTGACTTAAGTTTTACTATTCAGATTTCTCATAGAATACTTTAAATTCTTGGGTACAAAACAGTATCAAATAGAAGGTACTGGCCTCTCCACCTCAGTGTGTCATGAGCTGCAGGTCATGGCTGACCCTAGTGAATGGTGAAGCCACTGTAGTGACAGTTGTCATCAGCTTTTTGTAAAAGTGAAACAGGATTTAAAAAAAAAAAACCACAGTACATCATATAGGGCCAGGGTAAGTATTATTTCATAAAATTCTTGTTTCAGCCAAAATATGAACAAGTGTATTAGATTGTGATATAAAATGTATTTCTCTGGTAGTTGATAGTAAAAAAAAAAATTGGAAGTCATTGCTTTAGTAGGCCACACAGAGGTATAACTTTCATTTTTTAGAATGTAAAAGGAAGAAACTAACAGTTGCTTGTGTATCACAGTAAAGTGGTGTCTGTGGAAGGTGCCGTATTTGCACAGGAGTCAAACAGTGCAAGGGGACTAGTGAAACTTCTCTAGCTGGGGTATGTGCTTCTGACCATCTGACATTTGGTGCCTGGGACACAAACTATTTTTCTTTAAATTTAAGGTTATGCTCAGATTTTTCCAGTATCAAAATCCAGAAATTAAACAGCCCACGGGCAGACATGTGCTTCCTGTTATGTCATGGCCCTCAGTGGTGTCCCTTTGCTCTCCTGATCTGCCTTATCGATGCTCTGTACAAGGAAATACCATGGCTCTTGTAAGATTTAGTCCCTAGAACTGAGAATTCACACAACTACTTACTTTGTCCACAAGGTATCCAGTTCAAAACACACCACCAGATGTTAAACATAGAAGCATGATGATATACATGAAGAAAAGTAATCTGACTTGTTTTTTTCCGCAAAACGAAGAAAATCGTGTCGAGGAACTCTACTGATTTGGAGAAGTAGTACCACCATAACACCTTGGCTACCTAGAAAAATTTTACAAAGAGGGGCAAAGGGTGAGAAGTGGAAATGCTCCCTGTGCTGCCCCACCGCTCCGCACCCTCTGCTTCACTGGGGTCTCTTTCTCAGATTACTGAAAAGGTGGCTCACCTGGGGTCTCTGCCTCCAGTTTCCCCTTAATCTAGGGAAAGATAAGTTGCCTTTCCAAAATACACATGTGATCAAGTGACTCCTCTACACCAACAGAACTATTAAGAAGTCCATGACTCCTTATGTGAGCCCAGGGTCTCCCATGGGCTTGGCTGGCTGCTGTCCCCTCAACCTGCCTCCAAGCACCCTACCAGGATATCCTGTGTGCTGAGACACTGGTCCCAGTTAAGATATATCCCACTAGGGATTTCCAGAGAAAACTATTTTAAAGTCACTTGAAATATGAATTCTTTGGGTGATTATGTCACCAGCTTAATAAGGATATTTCATTAATTAATTTGTTTCCAACTCTTTAGGGAGAGGATACCTTGCTTTCTAAGCAAATACACTTTCATTTCTTGCACAAAAGGTACTATCCTGTAAATACAGTTCTGCATATTGCTTCTTTTTTTTCATTTAAATCTGTCCTCAAGACAATTCTATAGAGATCTTTCTCATTCCCTTCTTTAGAGGCATCCGTTAAGTGTACATGCCATGGTTTACTTAGACCCCTGTAGATGGACATTCAGAAAAGATTTTTATTACCCAGCTTTTCTGTTAGAACAGGAACCCCTTTATAATCTAATACCAGTCCTACCCTCATATCTGGAAGGAGAAAGACCCCTCTCCTTTTCAATGAGCGATAGTTATGGAGAGCGGACTTGTTTCTAACGGCTCACCCGGATATCAGCGTCCCCTGCACTGGCAAGGTCTTGACACTGTAAGTTGTATCCTCCTTCCCAACTGGAGAGAATGAGCTGCCAAGGAAGAAAGAAAGAAAGAAAAAAAAAATCATCGGCACATGAATTTGAACACAAACTGAATTTCCTATTCATGTCTCTGATTGGTATCTATTAAAGGTTTGAGGAGAAAATTTCCAAAATTTGAGTTTGTCTCAACCCTATCCTCAAAACATATTATTAAAGGATTTAAGTCTTCCTGTTAAACTAAAATCAATGGTTATATTAATATATTTTAGTTCTATTTACATCAGTCAAAATAACAGAGTTTAGCTATCATTTAAGCCAAAACATTTTAGTTAAGAAATTATTTAGTAGAATGCAGCAAGTAAAATGGTGAATTTAATGAAAACAAATATGACAAAATTACACTAAAAATTTAATAATATTTTGTATTGGTTTATATACAGAGGGTACCAAAAATGTATACACATTTTAAGAAAAGAAAAACTATATTAAAATTGTAATACTCAAGTCGCGTTTGACTTAGGCAATACAAGAGGTGCTTGAATATGGTTTGCACTCGTCTTTTACTGTTGGTATATACTAAGAATTACTATTTTAACAGTTTTTCTTTTCTTGTATTTTATGTATACATCTTTTGGCATCCTCTGTATATCTTATTTATCATCTCAGTAATTTTTAAAAGTATGTATATATTGCCACTTTACAGAAATGGAAAACAAGGCTTAGAAAGGTTCTTAAGTGATTTTTTTCATTCTATTTATGTAGCTTGTTAATTAAACAATTTATATGACTGATTGTCTATCCTCCCCATCGCTCTCAAAACCCAAAATGCTACATACAGTCTGTGCCTCTTTTTTTGCTCATCTTTGTATCATAGTTCTTGCTACTGCCTGGCACACAGTAAGTACTCAATAAATACCTAATGGGTAAATGATATGTCCAAGATTACGTGGGAAGTGGTCAAACAATGGCTAGAATTCAGACTTCCTAATTCAGTGTTCCTTCCACAACATCATAAGAAAATGAGCTTAAAAAAATTCTTCATTGGAAATTCTATGAAAGATGTTTTCTCCCTCTAAAAATTTAAAATTCCAGACTATAAGGCATTTGGCACTGTTTTATATAAAGTATCATAGGCAAAAGGCCTACTATTTGCTGCTGCTTAGAGGTCTGTAAAGTTATAAATCTGTTAAGATACAAATACAGAAGGAAAAGAGATAAACTAGTAACATTTGAAATGTTTCAGAACCTTTGTCTTTTCTTTACTGTCTTGATATACCTCTTTGCTTCTAACAAAAGCACCTTTTAGCTATCATGGTAATTAAAGATTCTCAGGATAAATAAATCTGAGAAGAAACCCTTGGATGTTCCTGATGGCTCTTCTACAGATCAGGTCACCTGCAATATTGCCTGGGGGCTTTATGCTCTTGATTCTCAACTGGGAACCAGTGGCAGGCTGGAGGGGGATCTCGGAGTACCCTACAGTACCTGTAAGGTTTTGTGCGTCCCTACAGTTTTCCAACTAAGAAAACTATTTACCTCTGCGCATAAGGATTAATTAAGAGCTTCTGCAATCAGGCTGTAGTTCTGTAGTAAGGGGCTCCACTCTCTACTTTGTATGTTAACGCAACAGTCTGCAGATTAACCCCAGTGTGGAAAGGGCAGGGCACATTTTCCATTTCCACGTGACACTTCCTGCTTTAGTTAGATTCATCCAGGCTGTCTGTCCCCACCCCTCTCTGGCACCTGTGCAGAACATCCTGGCAGTTTGACAACCAAATAATAGAATTAAGCAGCCAAGCTATAGAAAACTCTGTGTGTCTCACCCTGGACTTTAATCCCCTAATGGTTTGGGTGCAGGAGCCATCCAAACCTGTGTGTTGAAGAAAAGGAAACAGGCTGTCAAACTGGGTCGGCCTAAAGGAGGTGTGGATTAAATTACTCTAAAATATACCTAGCATCAGTCAGCTGCTCCCATCTCTATCTTAATCCAAGCTGCTAGCATCTGTTGCCTATAGTACTGCAACCACCTTCTTAACTGGACTCTTTGCTCCTAGGCTTACCCCAAACTCACCCTCATAGTCCATTTTCCATGTAGCTATCTATTTAAAAAAGATATACTATCACTCCCCTCATTGGTCCATTATACTTAGAGTACAAAACAAGTCCTCCCAAGGCCCCATGTAATCTGCCATTTCTCCGCTCCATCTTGATCCAGTCTCTCTTCTGCCCACTGTGTCACTCTGTCCCAGCTGCAATGTTACTCCTCAGTGAGGCCTGCCCTACCACCACCCCATCACGCACTTTCCCACAGGGCAAAGGCTGCATTCTAGAATCTACAATAGAATCTAACACAACATATAAATTTGATACATATTTCTTGAAAGATTTAATTATTGCAGTGACTTCCTGACCAAAGCAAATATCTGCTGAGCCACAACAAGTTAGCAAGATTAAATCAATCTGTCCCTTAAGTAGTATCTACTAAATATACTTTAAAAGTGTCAAAGGAAAGACCTGTGTCTCTCTGAAAGAGTTGACAATCAAAGAGAGAAAACTGGGAGGCGATCGGTGGTCGTGACTTTGAACTGAGATACAAACAATAGAGAAAGAGTAGATAAGCAATAGCTAATATTAGTAGCAGGGAATGTGCTCAGAACAGAGATGTTTTGCCTAGAAAAGACAGGAACAATGTACTTGGTTATTCGAAAACCAAACTATTATTCTGTTCCTGTTGATGGTTGCTCATATTCAACTAGCATTTTGCAATTTACACAGCATTTTCACATTGACTGACTGCTGTTGTATATTAGTCTGTGAGCTCTTTATGCACAAGAGCCATGTCTTAGCCATCTCTTATATTCACAGCACCTGGTGGGCACACGATAAATGTTTGCTGAAGGGAACTCATTAATCCTTACAACTCATTCAAGAGTTATATAGGATATTGTAGCTCCATTTTACACATAAGTTGCCTAAGGTTCAGAGAGCTTAGGTAACTCCTCCAAAATTACACAGAGATTCATGTCTTCTGCCTCCCCCACACCAAAGTTCCATCCAAACAGGGATGGTGACTACTGATACCAGACATGCAGGCTGGTCCTTCTGACACAGAAGCTACTTCTGAAGAACAGTCCCAGGAAGAGGACCTTCCTTGTTACTACATAGAGGTAACTAACTATAAATTGCTGCCTTGCCAAGTTCATCTAAGTGAGCTAAAATCCACCTGTTAAAGAACCAAAATAAAAACAGTCTTCAAAGTAAGGTAAATCGTGTGCACCTATGTGATACAAGTCCAGAGTTGTCGGTGAGGCTTTCCTGACCCCAAATTCCATCTGCATTCTGGCGCCTAAAATTCCATTCCTGCAGCTTCATTCCACTCATTCAAGGTAATGTTACTAAATATTATTAGAATGGTACATATTGGAATAATGTACAACATAAACTCTGGGTGAGAGAACCTATATTTCAAGGCAAAAATTTCTTTTGGAATTCAAGTACACAGGAAGACAGCTATATTCTTGCCATTACCAGTCATTTATGAGAGTGATTTTTTTGTATATATGAATGATTTTATCATAACTTTTCTCTAAAAAATATTTTGTTATATCTTTATTTCTTTTGTCGCTATAGAAAGTTTACTTAACAGTTTTAGATTTTCCCTTGTATTGTAGCAAAATAAGCAGGTGGTATAAGCAGGGCAATCATCACTTTTTCTTTCTCTTATAAAATAACTTGGATTGTGCTTTACAAAGGAATCCAAGTGCATGATGTAATGAGAGCCACGAGAGCTCAGCTGGAACGTCAGCTCCTCAGAAACAGCTATGCCCCATCAGAGTGTTCCACAGATGTGCACCATATTCTTTAAGGAAATATACATACATATTTGCATTTCAGTCAAATTAACTGCATTTGATGTTTAAGTTAATTTTTAAAATACCCTGTTATTCAATCATAGTCTATTCTCAGGCAAATTATGTAACTTTTCCAAGCCTTTGTGTCAAAATCTGTAAATGGAAAAAATAACATGAACTTTAAGCCTCATTCAAATTTAAATTTTGATTCTATATTATAATTAGACTAAGGACTAAAGAAACAGGCCTAAATTGGGATTAGAAAAATTTAAGATAGAAACAAGGACTTCCAAGACTTTCAGAAGGAATGATATCAGACTTTGGAACAAGTTCTTGAGGTCTGATAGCAACCTTGGATAGTTCTGGTAAGCCAGATGTGATTGCTTCTAAAAACTGCTCGACTATTGGACTCCAGCTTTAGCCACATAAACACTTACCTCTGCCAGCATATATGCAGAGAGAAGTGTGATTCCGAGATTATACAAGGTGAGCAAACCCCTGAGAGAAAGAGCAGGTCTGTTCTTCATGTATTTGTTACCCAGCCATATTGAAAGCAGATATATGACAGTAAGAAAAAAGGTAGGAAGGTAAGAGTCCAACATGAACCACCCTCTGACTCGAGAATCTGAAAAGAAACACACATAGTGAGAATCCTGAAGGTAATATTTCTGTTCAATTATCAATATTGTCACAAATATTGTTGTATTGTACTTGTATGATACCAAACCCAACAGGGAACAATAGGATACAGCATTCAGTATTACAGTAAAGTACCAAATACAGATTTGGGTTAGAATTTAAGGGGAGAAGAAGCCTGTGGGGGCTGAATAGTTTAGGGAAGGTTTCATGGTATAAACAAGGCTTAAGTTGAACACTGAATGTCAGCAAAAAGAAATAAAGCTGGGAAGTAACAGTTCTTGAAAGTTTACTTTAGAACAGTGATTGGATTTATTCTAATTCAATTAATATGAAGTAAGTACTATCATGCCATTTTATGAGCAACAACAAAAATAGCTTAGAAAGCTTTAGTAAGTCCCAAAAGACTATACAGTGATCAGCAACAGAGTCAAGATGTGAATCGGTCACCTCTGCCTCCCAGCCCATTCTGCCTTGCTGCTGTCCTCCAGTGGAGGCAATCTGAGCAGTCAGAGGAAAGAAGGCATGGCGATATTGTATCCTAATTCCTAAAACCTACACTGCCCAGAATTTGCCTAGGATCATTGTATAGTAAACCAGGAATGGGTCTAGAATCCCTCTAATGTGAAGACAGCAACAGAATCATAGTACAGCAAGCACAGGAAACTAGCTAGCAAAGGCAGAGGCTTGGAGCTGATGATTCAGAACTGAGAGCAGAAAATAAAACCAAAGACCTAGACCTGGCTATGGGACCAGAAGTATAAACAGAAGGAAGGCAAGGACCTGGATACATCAAGGATCCCTCACTCTGGAGAAAGCTAAATAAAACCCATATGATAGGTCTATAATGTAATTAGTAACCCCTGGAAATAACTATAGGCATAAATTATTTTTATATTTTGCTTGTTTTTAAGTAAAGAAAAAATATTTGGCCCAGAAATATAAAAATTAAATGTTTTTAATCTCTATAAGTAGGCTTGTAAGGGGCTGGTTTTGCCAAAACCATCAAGAGATACTTTGGTTTTATTGGTTTCAAGTCCCCTCCCTGGCATATTCTAACCCAGTGGTTCTCAACCTTCCTGATGCCACGGCCCTTTAATATGTACGTTCCTGTGGGTCGTGACCCACACGTTGAGAACCGCTGTGCTAACCTATCTACCTGCCTATCCCAGTCTCCTGTTAAACCACTCACTCTCCAGACAGTTCCATTCTATGAGGAAAGGGCCCTCTCAAACTCTGTCCATCACATATTCTGTAAGCGTCTTCCCTTGGTGATAAAAGCTAAGAGGGCTCCTTCTCAGCCTTTATGGAACAGATACTACCTTCCGCACATCTAGCTCACAATCACCTATGATAAGTCTGTGCTGTATGCTACCATGTTTCCCTGAAAATAAGACACTGTTTTATATTTATTTTTTCTTAAGAAGACACACTAGGGCTTATTTCAGGGCTTATTTTCAGGCTTATTTATCTTCTCTCTGTGCTGAAATGCATGGCGTGGCTATGCAGATACACTGCACAGCCATGCCCATCATTAGGTCTGATTATTGGGGTAGGGCTTATATTTAACAAATGCATAGAAATCCTGCTAGGGCTTATGTTTTGGGTAGGTCTTATTTTTGGGGAAACACAATACTTCCTAATGTTCTTCTCTGCATTGAAACCCTATTCATCTGTTAATGCCCAGATAACGATCCTGCTTTCTGAAGGGAAGCACTTTCTACTGCCTTTTCATAGTTACAGCTCCTTGTCTATATAACAAAATAACTATCACTTTATGTAAATAAATGTAATTTATACATTTTTATGGCTATAATACTGTTACTATAACTAATATTTACTGAGTACTTATTCTGTGTGAGGCACTGTCCTGAAGCCTTTTATGTGTATTAGCTTTTTATTTACTTTTAGAGACAGAATCTTACTTTGTCACCCTTGGTAGAGTGCTGTGGCATCACAGCTCACAGCAACCTCTAGCTCTTGGGCTTATTCTCTTACCTCAGTTTCCTGAGTAGGAGTAGCTGAGACTATAGGCGCCTGCCACAATGCTTGGCTATTCTCTGTTGCAGTTTGGCTGGGGCCGGGTTCGAACCGCCACCCTCGGTGTATGGGGCTGGTGCCCTACTCACTGAGCCACAGGTGCTTCCCAGTATTAATTTATTTTTTATGTTTATGTATTTATTTATTTTTGAGACAGAGTCTTACTATGTCACCCTCGGTAGAGTGCTATAGCATCAAAGCTCACTGCAACCTCAAACTCTTCGGCTTAAGTGATTCTCTTGCCTCGGCCTCCCAAGTAGCTGGGACTATAGATGCCTACCATAATGCCCAGCTATTATTTGTTGTTGTTGTTGTACTTGTCATTGTTGTTTGGCAAGCCCAGGATGGGTTTGAACCTGCCAGCCTTGGTGTATGTGGTTGGAGCCCTAGCTGCTGAGCTATGGGGTGCTGAGCCTGAATTAACTTATTTAATGCTTAAAGCAATCTTATTATATAGGTGATATCATCCCTTGTTTACATTTGAGAAAAACTGAGCCTCAGGGAGCTTACAAAGTTCAATTACTTGCATTTAACTGCTACCCTAACCTCTTGATACAGTATTGGGGTTTGAATTGTATCCTCCCCCAAAAGAAATGTTCAAGTCCTAACTCCTGACATCTGTGAATATGATATTTGAAAATAGGGTCTTGGCAGATGTAATACAGTTGAGGTCATACTGGATTGGGGGGGCCCTAGCCAGTGACTGGTGTCCTTCTAGGAAGGAAAGAGTTAGATACAAGGATGGGAGGAGGAGGAGGCCATGTGAAGGTGGAGGCAGACACTGGAGTGATGCATGTACAAGCCAAGGAGCACCACAGACTGCCAGCAACCTCCAGAAGGTAGGAGGGAGTCACAGATGAGATTCTTCCCTGGAAAGTCAACAGGGAACGCAGCACTCCTGGCACCTTGATTTCAGACTGTTAGCCTCCAGAACTGTGAGAGAATACATTTCTGTTATTTTAGGCCACCTGTTGTGAAACTTTGTTGGCAGCCCTAGGAAGTGAAGAAACACGGTTTAGTACTCAATTGTTTTCCAACTGTTTCAGATATACTAGTTTTATCTCCTCAACTGCAGGACATGCTCCAGGAGGCAGCGACTAGCTCTTACATTGCTACTCTGTCTCACTTATATCCACTCAGTGCTGATTGAAGAGGAAACTTTCATTAGCTTTGTATCAGTTGGCATACTGAGTCAACTACATACTGCAAAACTAACACAGCACCTGTAGTTTTCCATTTTCTTTTGTCATGGTCCTTTTAAAAGTGTTTGCTAGAAGTGTTAAGGGAAATTATAATTGTTCCAACTAAAAGATTAGAATGATACTTGCAATAACTTTTCTTATCTTTGAAACTCGAGAAATGTTATGCTGCATCTGTGGCAGGCATCTTCTCAGAAGAATAACCTTGATGGTATAGGCAAAATCAGAAAAGATAAGGGGACACCTACAAGTTTACTAGGTGATGGGAAGGGAGAAGGACGTCTTAGATGCTAGACACTCTGTCACTGTGAAGGTTATCTGATTCGGTTGTCAACTGTCCATTTTATAATCTCCATGTTACAAAGTGAACCTCCATAAAAATGACCAATGCTGAACAAACAAATGTAATCCTTTCCTCAATTAATCCCATATCCACTTAATTCTCAGTCATGCTGATCTTACGGATGGCAAAATTCAGTGTAAAATTGGCTTGGAGAGATTGTTGTTCAACTTTCTAATAGAAGTGTCCAATAGAAAAGCCACAGTCACCAAGAAATGCTAGTTCTTCTTGTATCCTTCACTCCTTATAAGAGGGTCACACTCTCTATACTGAGCTGTTCTCCTTCCCACCCACTAGAACTTCAGGGGAGAAAACACGTTACAGGAGGTTACAAAGGTAAACATATTCTGCCTGCCTCAGAGGATCCTCAGGAGGATAAAATGCAGGGGAGGGGGAACCTATGGAAAGTATTTTTTTAATCTGCACACAATCATTATATTGTTATATTAAAACCATATAGTCATTCGGTTACAATAGTTTATGGACCCTATGTAGAAACTGGAGAATGGTCAAAAAACTCAGTGATTAGAGATTTTTAGAAACAGAAAAACCTCCTTATTTCCTTCCTCCTTTTCTCCGCCAATAATGCTGAGAATAGTTTACATAGAACAATGGACTTTCTTCAGTTTTGTGAACAAGCAAGGCTCAGAACAAAACATGTGTCTAGAATTTATACATTTACTTGCAAAGTATACAATGCCCAGGATACTCCCAAAATTGTAATAAGCCCTGGAGTCAAATGATGAGTAAAATAGTTATGGTTCCTGCCTTCATGGGAGAAAGAGTTATCAATAACAATAAAGTATGTGAAAGAAAAAAGCAGAGATTGAGACAGAATTATGAGGGACTTACTGAAGTTCCCCCATTATCTGCAAGGGATATGTCCCAGAGCTCCAGAGGATATCTGAAACCCAAGACAGCACTGAAAACATAAGTATACTATATTTTTCCAATAAATACATACTATGATAAATTTCAATTTGTGAATTAGGCATATAAGAGAGCAATAAAAACTAATAACATAGAACAGTTAGAACTATACTATAATAAATGGTATGTGGATGTAATCTCTCTAGATATATTATACTATACTTGCCTTTTTTCAGATCACAGTTGAATGTGAATAACTGAAAACAAGGAGAATGAAACTGTGGACACGAGGGGACTACTGTCCTTTAAAGGAGGAAAGCCCATCTGAAAAGGTAACGTTTAAGCTAATTCATGAAGTATGGAAAAGAGCTGACTAGAGTAGGTGACAAGATAGGAGACGTAACAGGGAATTCAAGGCTCAAGAAACAGCATATCACATATAATTTTACGTATTTGAGGAATTAAAAGATGACCCAAGCTGCTATATCAAAGCCATCAGGGAAGGTTGCCACTGAGCTGGACACAGGGCTAGGTAACACAGGGCATGCATCTGGGACAGGAAGTGTGGTTTTCACCATGAGGGCAGTGGGAGGACACTGATCAGTTTTAAGCTAGAGAACCACAGGATATGATTTAGGTCTTTCACACATTATTCCAGCAGATACTTTGAAAATGACTGGAAGGAGGCAAGAGTGGAGGAGGAGAGAGGAGTTAGGAGGCCACTGCAGCAGAGTGAGTGACGGTGACAGAGGAATGATGAGAGCTGTCTAAGCTGGTCCTAAGGGCCTGGGCAGAGAAGTGCACGCATCTTTAAAAGGGATTTGCTGAGGCCCTTAAAGGCAGAAATACCACTATGACCGTGCCTGGGAGGCAGAGGTGAACGCCCGCTGCAGAGAGGACAGGAAAGCTGCATCGTCTAGGAGAGCTACAGACTGCCTTCCATTCTGTGCCCGCTTCTTGCTCCCTAGCACTTCTTTAACCCCAAGAGAGGTCGCCCATGAGGACAAATGGAGCCTCTGGATGTTCTAGCGGTATATTAAAGGTCAGGGACGTTTTTAAATGTAAAGCACCGCACTGTTCTCGAGACACCAGAAATAACACAGTCCTTTTCTATAACTAGATGGCACTCTTCCCTGGGTTCCTTCCTCATTAAGTTCTCAAGTAGCTCCCTTACCTCGAGGTCCAAACATATTGTCCAAGAAAGCATTGATTTCATCATCAAAGGCCTTTAGATGCTCCTGAAATAGGAAAGAAAAGAGTTTGAGTTTTTTGTTTTATTTTAAACTCTCAAAACGAGCCACTACCAACAACATGTGGTTGAAGATTCTCCCAAGGGTCCCAACTTCAAGGACTTTTGGCTGCATATGCTTGAGGAAAGGGGACCAGTAAACGCAGCCTCACCTTTCATAAGCCTGTGAAGTTTTAAGGAAACAATTCCTCTTTCGTTTCTTTAGGCAAGAGGAGTCTTGGAAAACAGGTGTGGTGCATTTAAACCTTGAAGGGTTACTGACTGTAATTCCATTTACCTCTGAAATGCCCACAGACAAAGCTGCTCCAGAAGCAGCTCCCATTGTTGCGATTTTTCCTGAGCAACATGGAAAGCCTGTTCCCGCAAAATATACGTGTAAATTTTAAATGAAAATTCAGCTGAACTATGTTTCATTAAGCCGATTCTACAGCTTGATATAGGACTTGTTTTTCAAGTAAGTAAATTGATCACTACAGCCATTTTTTTCTATTCCCTTTATGTTTTGTTTGTTTTCAAACAGTAACCTCTACTTACTAGTAAATAGTGTTATTCAGGGTATGCCAAATTAATTATTGTCACTTTAACTGGATTTAGGTTGGAGCTGGAATATTGGTGCCAAGAGTCATTAAGTAGAAGACTACAACTTGATTTAACTCCTACTCACACTGGTCTGCTATGATACCACTCAAAACACCCACTAAGTCGTTCTCTACTCCTACTACAGAAATCGAGAGTCCCTCCTTGAGCAGAGGAAGAAAAAGACAGAGCACTACCCCATGTCTCCGGGAAAGGGGGTATGATGAGAACAGTGGGCCAGAGAGGTCTCCCTGACTATACGTGTTGGAATAGCACGGACCTGGCAAGGTTATGCAGAGCACGCTTTAGATGCAACAGCCACACTAAAAGCATCTCACCCTCAAAGAAAAGTATAAGCACCAAAGAGGAGAATTCATTCACTGGCATCTAAAAAGAAGTTCTGCTGTTTGGTGATTGGCACCTATCATCTGGACCTATTCTTTATTTGTGACTTCGATCCTCAGAAAAATTTCAAAGAAACTTAGGTCTTTGCAAACTTTCCTTTCCTTGGGAAGGAGGATGGAGATTAAAGATGAACATTTATTAGCACCTACTACTGCTGGCCAGGGAAATTTATTTTCACTAATTCATAATATCTCTATAAAAAGTATTTACGCTAAACCAAACTTGAAGGTTCTTAAGTATTTTTATTATCTTTGGTTTCCATATCAAGTGTCTCAGGAGACCTCCAGACTTGAGAAAGGTCAGTTATCTGAGATCTCAGTGTGACAGAATATGATCTGTGTTGCCATTAGAATAGGGCAGCTCTGTCCAGCGGCCTGTCAGTCTTAAGAATTTTAACCTCATCTTTGTACCCACCCTCATAACAAATGCCTATGAAATCTTTAAGAATTTTAACCTCATCTTTGTACCCACCCTCATAACAAATGCCTATGAAATCTTTCTTCCACTGCTGCATCCAGGAACAAACATTTAAACTTTTTCTGTTTGCTAAGGTTCAAAATCTATTTTCCAAGATTTGTAGAGCTAAGGAAATGCTAAATAAAGGTCTCAAAGCTCGTATTATTTCCATATTTCAGTGATTTAGACAAAGAAGAAGAATAGAAACAAAAGTAAAAGAAGGGAAGACATGAACAGAGAATGAAGGAAATGAATAAAAAGGAGCATTTTGTTCTTTTACTCAGTAATTTATTGACTCATTAACCCATTACTGGAGCGTTCGTACATACTAGCACTCTATTAGATGCTAAAACACAAAGTCAAATGAGACACGGTCCTTATTTTACAGTTTTCAGTCTAGACATAATAATACACAAATAAAAAGTTGCAGACAGTGCAGTTTTAAATATTATGAGAGGTCTACAGACATATGCTCCAAGAAGACAGAAATGCACTTTAATTTAGATCTCTTATAAAGATGAGGTGATAGCTGAAGTCTGAAAGACTCTAGGACATTTTCTAAATCTGCAGTCTCCAACCCATAGGCATGGACCTAATATGGGTCCATGGCCTGTTAGGAAGCGGCTGCACAGCAGGAGGTGACCCAGCAAAGCTTCACCCATATTTACAGCCACTCCACATCACTTGCATCACGACCTGAGCTCGGCCTCCTTCAAATCAGTGGCAGCGTTAGATTCTCACAGCAGCATGAACCAGACTGTAAACTGCACATGCAGGGTATCCAGGTTGCGTGCTCCTTGTGAGAATCTAATGTCTGATACTTTGAGGGGGAGATGTAATGTGCCTGAATCATCCCAAACCGGATCCCACCTCCTGTTCATGGGAAAAAAAGTCTCCCATGAAACTGGTCCCTGGTGCCAAAGGTTGAGGACCACTGGTCTAAATGGAGAAGGAAAGAAAAAGCACAGCAGGAAGGAAGATTCGCATATGGAAACACAGTGAGGCCTGACTCACGGAGGAAGTGACCACAGTCTCCAGTGACCCACATGATACAACTGCAGCCAATGCTGGGAAAATCATAAACCTGCTAAGCATTACCTCTTTATTTCTGAATACTTAATATGCAGTAGAACCACGCTGAGTTGACCATCCAAGGAACTGTAACAAACTGGCCGACCTACAGAGGTGGTCAACATAAGGAACTATGACTACCGTACTGATACAGGTACATACATGGTGTACGTGGGTCTATGAAAATTAGGTCAACTTGAGGTGGTCAATGGAGGGAGGTGGTCAACTATGGAGGTTCTACTGTAGAGTAAGGAAGTTGTCTAAAAAGACAGGGTGAGCATTTACCAAGGGACGATAGGCAGCCCCAGCTGTGCCCTAGGTTCTGTGTGCACGTGAAGCATGCTGGACAGCGCCTCCAGGTGAACACCACAACCTCAGAGCTAAGAAGAACCAACAAACTCCATGCAGCACTTCACTCATCCCAAACAGCATTTCTGAGAAGCGTGTGTGTACATAATACTTTGTCAGATGTATGAAGAGAAGAGTGGCTGACTCAAAGTTTATGGACAAATTGTGAAAGCGAGACAGACGATTAAGGACAGGGAGATACATGGAACTGCCATGATGATAGAAGACAAAGGAGTTATCATCCCGCAGGATGGGGTTTTTAAACATGGTTAGAAATCTCTACCTAAAAAAAGTGAACAATGTAATATAATCATCTATACCCTCATATTGATTTGGAAAAAAAAGAGATCAGAAGTTGAATAGATTAGGGTAAGGCTGTAGCTCTCAGTCCCCCCACCCCCGCCATGCCCTGTCATCCGTTGGTCACACCCCTCCACAAAGGAAAAAAAAAATCATTTGAGCCGAGGAAACATGCTTACACACGGTCACAACTTCCCCTCTCCAGATCATGCTCTAACTTCCCTAGGCCACAGAATTCTCTGCTAAATAACCCAGAGGCTACTTGCAGAACAAATCTTTGCCCCCACAAGAGAGTCCATGTTTCATGACTTGACGTGTGGCTGTGAACAGCAGAAAGCTGAAGGATGGAAAGACTGGAAGCAAGAAGGGCCTTATTTGTGTATCTGTGATTACTTACCCCAGCTGGGAGGAATACAAAACAGTAAATAACTTTGCAAAACAGTTTGGCAGTTTCGTAAAAAACATCTACATACACCTATCACAGGATACAGCATGCCATTTCTAGAAATTTACCCAAGAGAAAAGAAAGCATATTTTCATGCAAAGACATGAATACAAATATTAACAGCAGCTTTATTTGTGATTGCTAAAAAAACAGATACCCCAAATGTCCAACAGGTGACATGGCCACATCTAGTCCACAATATAAAGAAGTGAACTACTGATGTACAGACAACATGGATGGATCTCAAAATTATGCTGCATGAAAGAAGCCACACAAAAATTACATACTGTATGTTTCCATTTATGTGAAATTCTAGAAGACTAAAACTTACAGTGACAGAAAACAGATCAGTGGTTGCTTGGGGACTGCAAGGGAAGATCAGAATATCTTTCAAAACGAAGTTAAATCAGGACATATTCATAAAAGTATAAGTGAGAGAATGTACAGCCAGCAGAACTGTACTGCCTAGTATGCCAAAATGTTCTTCATGCCAAAGGGAAGTGATTCCATATGGAAAGCAGAATTTACAGAAAAACATCAAGAGCACCAGAAACGAGTCTAAGTAACTGGAGAGCCATAATCCAGAGCGCCCTAGGGAAAGCCTCTACCCACCTCCTCCCGTCCACTGTTACGCCCAGCACCAATCCCCACCTCTGACACCATGTTCATCCCTTTCACCAGGACGCAGGGTGCCTGATACCAATGATGTCCCGGACCTGCTCTTCCTACTGCCAGTAAAAAAAACACTCGGAGGTAGTGGTGACCCGTCTGAGGCAGATCCACTGGACTGCCTTCTTACAGAGATCTGAGATTGTCTTCTTGGCCATGGAATATGTGACTCTCAGGGCTGGTGGACTGGCTCACCACACACACCTGCCTCAGCTGCCATTTTCTGTAGGGACTTTGGGAACAGGAGAGCCATGAAGGGCACACCAAGTTTTTTGCCATCATGATGGTAAACTGGGACTCCCATCCATCTCTAGCTGTATCAAATGAACCAAGGCATCTCAATGGGAGACCATTTCCTGGTCCATTCTTGAAGGGGTGAAGGTTGTGATCATTGTGAAGACTGGGCTCATCTCAAATACCTCGATAGCCCAGATTTTCTTCGGCAAAGGCTGCTTTGCAATCAGAATCAGAATCATTATTACTACAATTACAGGCCATTCTATGGAAGCCAATGCAGGAAGCAGAGCAGAAATGAACCTACCCCAAACTCTGCCTGTGCATTCTCCCATAACTAGAGCTTAAGACTCTAGATTCTATTCTCCTTTACTTTCCTTTTTTCTTTCTTTCCTCCCTTTCCCCATCTTTCTTCCTTTACTTCTTCTTTTACTCATTTCTTCTTCACTTTCCTCCTTTCATTGGCTTTAGGCAATTGTGTGACT